ACCGTCTCTCAACACCACAACTAGCTTTATGAATGTTCCTCGTCCTATCTTATGTTCTCATGATCTCGTCTCTCCTTTTTTTGCGGTCTCAGTCCTTCTCTGTCCGGTGGTTCTTCCATGTCTTCGGTTCTCGTGGGTCTCTTCTTAATGTTCTCGCTCTCCTCTCCTTCTCCGTCCCTCTCGACGTCCCTTCTCTCGGCTCTCTTCTCTCTCTTCGTCTTATCATCTGAATCTCTCTCTCTCTCTCTCTCTCTCTCTCCTTCGCGTCGATCCTCTGGTTCTTTCTCCATCATCTCTCTCCGTACGTGGCTCTATCATCTCTCTCTCTCTCTCTCTAGCTTCTCATCAGAATCGGCAAGGAGGTCTCTTCCCTCTCTTCTCTCGTCTCTCTCTCTCTCATAATCTCTCTCTCTATCTCTCTCGTTCCTCTTCTTTTACTCACTCAATATTTCTCACTTCATTCCCTCTCTTTCAATTCTCGTCATTCTCTCTCTCATATATTCTCATTATGGTTTTGCCGGCTCATATTCTTCCAGAGCTTCCATAATGTTTCATCTCTCTTCTCAAAGCTCTATCTGTCACGTCAGCAATCTCTCTCCGTCTCTCTCTCCTCATCGTCTCTCGCGACATTCTCCTCTCCTTCGCCTCTTATGTCCGTCAACGTCTCGCATTCTCATCCTCTCTAATGTCTCTCCATCTCTTATACTCTCTCCTTCTCTCCTCTCCAACTTCATCACACTCTCTCTCATGCTCTCCTCGTTCTCTTCTCTCTCTCTTCTCTCTCTCTTACTTCTTCCTCTACTTCCTCCTCTCTGCTCCTCTTCTCGTCTCGTCTCATCCTCTCCTCCCTCGTCGTCCCTCTCCTCTCTCCCTCTCTTCCGTATACTAATTCGTCTAACCTCTATGCTCTATCGTCTGTACTACATGTTCTAGTCGCACGCTCTATTCTTATCTTCGTCTCGTCATCTTTCTTTTATCTCGTTATTTTTTCCTTCTTAATGTTCCTATTCTCGTCTTCTCTTTTTTCTTTTTCGTATTTGTGCCCTCTTTCCTCTCCTCACGTTTTATCTTCCCTTTTGTGTATCACTTTCACGTTCTCTTTGATCCTGTCGTTTCGCGTTGTTATTTCCATCTCATTCGTCTCCAGTTCGATCGGTTCCTCCATTACTCCTGAGTTAGTAAAGCCTTTCGAATATTCGGCTATTTCGTGAACCAAAAGATAAGATAAGCACAGGGTTTCCGCCCCCTGCCTCCTTTTATCTTCCTCTCACTCCTTCGTCTGGTATAAATTTCTCGTCGTCCAGTATGGCGTCTCCTTCAGGGCGCTTGCCCCTACCCTCTCTCGTCTTTGGTCCAGTCCCTTAGGTTAACTTCGGGCTAGCGGGACTGTTTGTGTGACTGCAATCGTTTCCCTTACATCAATCTCACTCCCTCCGCTTCCTCTACCCTCTTTTTCCCTTTCCATATCTTCTGTCCGCTGCGTTGGCAATGCGTCGTCTCCACCCTTTGCGCCTCCACTTCCTATCAACTCGTTGACGCGATGCCTCGCCGCCCTTTACGGACGCTGTCCCTCTTTTCCTCTGTCTTCCATTCGCTTTCTTTTGATTTCATTTCTATCTCTCCCTTACTGTTCAGATCTTTGAGACTCTATTTGCTCTTTGCATGGAACAGTGTCAAGGGGAGTGTTATATGTTCTTGTTATTGTCTTCAAGGCCGACTAACCAAACCTTTTCCCCTGTACACTTCTGTTCCTGTTTTCTGCCATTTCTATTCCCTTCTCGCCTCCTTTCCTATTTACCTCGAGGTTCCTTTATCTTCCCTCGTCCTGTACTCACATCCCTCTGTTACTAAATAGCCGTTCCCTTCCCCCAGCATTGTTGAAAGTCGCTAGTTTCCACTGTTTTCTTAAACGGCGCAAACGCTTGCTTTTTTCGGGCAACCTTTTCCCGCTCTCTCGTGCGGGGCGCTCACTCATTTCTTTCCTACATCATTTCACTCTCTCGGAGCTTCGTCTAATGAAACGGATCGAGGGGGAGAGGAGGGAAAGGCTGATTTAATGCGATCACACCACGACTAACTGGGGTTTGTTTTCGCATGCAGTTTTCCCTCATATAAAACAGGGAACACTACACCCGGGCGGCTCGGAACATACGTAAGGGCGAAGATATACGCAGAGACGGTGGATGATGATATCTAACAACTCATCCAACCTCTGTCTTTGCTTTTCGGTCTGTTTCCACGAAAACTCCCAGTGCGCCTATGGCTTTGTATTTTTGTTTCCTTTCGTGTGAGTTCTCAGAGCAGTGACGGGGCGTGGTTTCGGTTTGACGACATTTCAGTTGCATAATGGTGCGGGCAGTGCTTTGTTTTTCTCTTTTTCTTCGCATCGCTTCTGATCAAGGGGGTGTCGGTCTTATATGTAGGGTGTGGTTATAAGGAAGAGTTCGGCGCTTTTGTGCTACTGTTCTCCGGCAAAATGCAGGCAAAAGGCAGAAAGGGAGTGGACTGTGACTCCTTCAGAGCAGTAGTGATGAGAAAGCCGAAATGTTTTCTAGTGCTTTGTTGGTAAAGTCATTATCCTCACTAGCTGTAATTGAAATTTTGATTACGATATTTCATTGTTGGTACAATTATTATAGATCTTGGAATATCGATAAAGATTGTTGTGAATATTTGTTATTTTTGTTAATATTTATTTCATCATTTGAAATAGCAATAACATTCTATCACCCCTATGATTTTAGTTGATTGTCTCGTAGATATTCTCTGATTCCTGACCCATCTTGTTCATGAGCCTTTTCTTCCCGACAGACCCAGCGACCAGAGCAGAGCGTCATGCAAGCCCTCGAGAGTCTTAATGATGGACAAGTAAGTCGTTGATATTCAACTTTGTTGGACTGTTTATCACTTCCACGTTTCTCTACCAGTATTTGTGGATTACTTGAACTTTATTTGTGTTGTTCAATTGGAGAGATGTCATTTTGATTACCGGTGTGGTAGTGTTTGTTGATATGTGATGATTGCATATTCTATTTTTTACTATTGATAACCTATTATTGTAGGTTTATTTTAGGAATATTATAGCCTGATGATTTTGATATTGAGGATAATTTTTGATACCTTAGAGTGAACATTTACTTGCGTATATTTGACTTTTGATGATTTTACATAGGCCTCCTCCTGTAATCATGCCCCAACGTCATGTATTTATGAGTGTTACTTTTTGCAGGTGAATGACTTCTTGACGGGCAAGGCCCCCCTCAACTTGACCATGCGCCTTGGTGACCACATGATGCTGATCCAACTGCAGCTGTCCACGGTGTCCCCAGGCGGGTCCAGAAAGTCACGCCTCCAGACCAACCATTCTCACTCACACAGCCATGCACACTCCCATGGCCATAGCCATTCTCACACTCACACACACTCCACGCACAGCCACAGCCACAGCCATGAACAAGGAGGTTCTGCTCGTACCTCTGCACACAGCCATCCTCTGACCCCTCCCTATACCCCTCATAGTCCGGTCACGTGTGCAGGCTACTCCCCTGTGCACACATCCCCTGTGTCTGGCCAATCCACACCCCCAGCCTCTGTCACTATCAACCCTAGTCAAATCTCTTCCACGACATCTTCGTCATCTGCTAGGGCTGCCTCCCCATCTTCCCCGTCTTCTACATCTTCCACATCCTCTTCCCCAACCTCCTCATCAGCGTCCTCTTTGCTTCACCACCACCACCACCACCACAATAATCTCCTCCTCCACCACCACAGTGCGGGTTACTCATCTCCCTCGTCCCCACCCCCACCCACTTCTCCGTACTTAGCCACGCCCCTCACCATCACCACCACCACCACCACCACCACCACCACCATCACCACCTATCACTCCGACCTATTCCAGGCTCCCCCTCAACCCCAAACAGCCCAGCCTCTTCCTCGTCATCATCCTCAGGTGGATCCAGTGCCAGCTCTCCTTCAGGCCTTGGCTATGACAGTGACTTGCCTGTGAGAGGGTGCCCTCATAGGGGCGAGGAGATGGATCTCAGGGCTACTCTGGACACCAAGGCCCTAGCAGAGGCTTCTCGTAATCTTACTCAGACCCTCAAGCAGCTCTCTTCTGAGGTCCTCACGTCCAAGCCAGAGCTGAAAGAGGTATTTATTGCCAAAATTTGTGCTGTCATTAATTATGAATTTTAATTCGTGTATGAACTTGAATTGCATATGTATAAATTTGTTCATGGTTTAATTTTTTCACAGGAGAGTCGATCCCCTCCAGAAATTGCTGCAACATATTTAGGCACAAAAGGAGCCAGTGATGGCACCAACAATATTGGCCCTAGCAGTACCCCTAGTAGTTGTAACAGCAATGGAAGCAGTGGCTCCAGCAGCACTAGTAGTAACAGCAGCTACACCAGCAGTGGCAGCAGTAGCAGCAGCAACAGCAGCAGCTGCAGCAGTAGCAGCAGCAGCAGCAGCAGCAGCAGCAGCAACAGCAGCAACAACAGCAGCAGCAGTAGCAGTAGCAATGGCTCCAGCAACAGCAATGGTACCAGCAGTAGTAGTGGAAACAATAACAGTAATTTCAAGAAACAGGGAGCTATCATTGAGAGTATGCACCACCACGGGAAGTAAGGCAGGTATGGAGCAGGAGTGTTGCAAGTGTATGTGCTGAAGTGTTTAATGATGACAGTGCCAGGATGTAGAGAAGTGGAAGGCATGGAAAGTGAACAGTTAAGACATATTTAGTGAAGCCTTACTGACTTTATTTTAGAGAACCTACACTGGTTGTGAAAAAAAGGAATTGGAAAGGTTCACTTGTTGTTGCCTTAGGAATTATATGCATAACTTTTAAAGTTTACGCCCATAGGAGGTATGTTTTGTATTGTTAAGGTTAGGTGTTTAGGTTAAGACATTCTCTCTATGGCTGAGGTCTTGATAAGCAAATTTTTGTTTCAGGTACCCTCAACCCAGCACTGCAGGACAGGCAGGGACGGCCAAAACGGGATATCTCAACAATAATCCACATACTCAATGACCTCTTGTGTGCCACACCGCAGTATCGTCGCCACAACACCAGCATTACCCTTAGTTCAACAACGCCATCCAGGACCAAGAGTTCTGGGAGCAGTGCACCCAAGGAGAAGGGAAAGCCATTGAATACCTCTTCAACAGAAATCCCACAATCTCAGGAGGAAATGATGGAGGCAAACAGGAGGAAAGCTGTTGATGAACCACAAGCTGGTGACCAGGGTTAGTGAATAATGTATCATATAGTATAGTTATATTGAAAAACAGGATCTCTTTGCTCCTTTAAAGATTACTGATAACTATTCAGCCTATTAAGCATGATTATACTGACCACTGCTAACATCTTTTGAAATACTACAGATTCAGGTGATGAGAACCAAGCAATGCGAACAAAGGTGGAGCAGCTACGCCTAATCATGGAGCAGCGGCGGGCCCGGCGCAAAGCTCGGCGTGATGCCCGGGCACGCCCATACCCACACACTGCTGCATCATGGGCCACAGACACCACAGTGCCTGCTGTTGTCACCACAACCAGTACAGCAGCAGCATCTGCTACACAAGCAATGGATGTGGATGGAGGAGATACTGATGGTACTGATCCCACCACCCTTTGTGAGCTCAACTCAGAGACTGTAGTGGCTTAATGATGGCCCATCATTAGAAGGATGTTAGGTTAATGTGTAGGGAGGATTTGCCACTGTGAATTGTTTAGATGGATTTAGGTGTAAGTGATGAGTATACCTTTGCACAACTGCCTATAGCCCAAGGTGACTCAATTTAGCCAAGGTGGTCAAGCCTTTATGTTGAAAGTCTTGTCATTTGGCAGGAAGTAAGAAAATGCAAGGTCTGTTGTCTGTGATTTAGGGTTGACTGTGTTGCAGCAGAACTGTGACACAAAAGCAGTGTTTGATGATGTGCTTCCATTGTTGGAAAAGGTGAGTGTTCCAGATCAATCAAGGAAGGAGACTTCCCAAGGTGTGAGGAACTCAACTAATAAATTGTTTTAGCACTGTTTGTCTAAACTACCTTAAGGGGAGCGACAATAATGTCTTGGGGTTGATTTTAAAAAAGGAAAAATAAAAAACAAAAACAAACATAAATAAAAATGATCAGCATTAATCAGATTATGATGAAAATAGTGTCAGAGCATGTTAAAAATCCATTTCTTGATTATTGAAAGCTCTGCAGGGTACCCGAGCCATGCTCTTGCTTGTGGTTTAGAATGGTCTTGACATCTTATTGCATGTATTAGTTGATCCTTTGAGCCCCAGATGAACCCCTCTTGATGTGACACTCAGGAACCACATTCCCAAGGGGATATGGTCAATCATCATGGAAGCTCCGTAATTTTTGAGTGGCATATTTGACGACCATCAGTCCATGTAATAGTATTGTTGAGCCACAAGGATTCTCTCACCATATGGCAACCAACAGGATAGAAAAAGAAGAAAAAAAAAATAGTATGGAAAAATATATAATGAGGAGGGTAACGTATCATCAGAGAAAGGCTGAATCTACCTCGTCATGTAACCAATCGCTACTTCTTTTAATACAAGCAGATAATTTTATCCCTGTTCTATTGATATATATACATATATATACATATATACAGTATGGTGTTATAAATCAGGACGTGACCTCAGCTGTTACACCGCCATAGATTCCATTGCCATAGTTTTGTCTAGATGTGGTTAACTCACTTTTCGTGTCTTTATTGACTTAAGCTTGTATATGAGGTTTTGAACTACCCCATCCCATCCCACCTGATGTCACTAGCTATGGAGATGATAATGCTTAAGTTGTCTGTGTTTACTTGATACTTGTATCCAGTGCGGGTTTTACTTCTTGTGTGCGCCACCTGAGCTGTAAATAACACATTTCCTATCTGCCTTTTGAAGATGCAGAGACATCTCTATTGATCAAAAAAGTAGTTGTGAATGTGGTTTTCTAGTTCCCTTGCTCAGTCCTTGAATAGTAAGACAAAGATCTTGTTTTTACAACCAAAATTTTTCTGTCAAGACAGGAATACAAGCCAAGTCTGAAGTCTTTTTAGCTCTGGCTTTGTAATGAATAATACAGGAATCCTCATGGCTAGTTACTGGATAGAGCAAAAGTTTGACACAGAAAAGGTATAATGGAAGCTAAGGAAAAAATTATATTTGCAAATATAAGTCTGAAGCTTCTCATTTCACATTACATGTACAAAGGCATTTTCTTCACATTGTGCTTCTCATGGTTCTTTTATTTTTTATTTATTTATTTTTTTTTTTACTTTATCATTATCTTTTTTTCTTCGTTTTTTTTAGTATTTGTAACTTCAGTTTAGTTTTGGTTCAGGACTGGTGTACATCAGTTTGTTTTATTTGAGAGTGCAAAATCATTATTAAAATGAAAAGTTGTTTCTTCAGCATGTGTTTTTGAAGATTTAATTTGTAAATTGATCTACATTAGTGTTTTCTTGAGGGTGTACAT